GTACAGTTATAATATATCATATTTTCCGGCATATAGGACGACTAGGCGTAGAAGACAAGCCCCAACTTTTCCAGTTAAAATATAGAGTTTGGTATATACTCGCCGTATAAGACTACCCCTCTTCCAAAGCACACCAAATAAAAATTTTAAAAGCATCAGATTTTATTTCAATATGGTAATTTTCCTATTACTGTACCTCCCTCAATGCACCACTTCACTGTAGTCTTCAGGAACAAGATCTGAGAGGCAGAGGAGGAAGTACAGTAATAGGATACAAGGGCAGGCCAGACAGGTAAAAGAGGTGCATTTTTCTGGGCCCAGAGCCATTCTATCTCTTTTTTCCATACCCGGATGCCTGCAGCTTGCTCCACCCTTCACTTATACCTTCCCGGTGAGGCACCCCTTCACCTCACCATTGGAACCGCATTAAGTCCACGAATCCTGATGAATGGATTTTCTTCTACTGTACTTGTACAGTGTCACCCTTAATGCTTTCATACAGTCGCTGCATGCGGCAGGGACGTGGCCACTGCCATTTTTGAGCTCCCCCCACCATAAGCAGCAACCACAGATTCTCCAATCCAGATTGGAAGTTTCAGCACCCGCTCTACAAGACGACTCCCAGCGTATAAGACTACTCCCACGTATAAGATTACCCCCACATATAAGGCTACCCTGCGTATAAGACAACCCCTGACTTTTGAGAAGATTTTCTTGGGTTAAAAAGTAGTCTTATATACCAGAAAGTATAGTATTTAAAAGCACAAACAAAGTTAAAAACTTGGCATTATGCTAAATGTCCTTTGACCAAAACCTGGCCACTTGGAGTGCCTCTGGTGTTGCTGTAAAAACGTCCTCCATTGTGCATGTGGTAGGGCTCAGACCACATTGTAGTAAGTGGTTTATGGTTTGCTCTTCTCCACACTCGCATGTTGTGGACTCCATTTTGTAGCCCCATTTGTTAAGGTTAGCTCTGCATCTCATGAAGCCAGTGTTCAGTCTGTTCAGCACCTTCTAAGTCACCCAGTCTTCTGTGTGCCAGAGGGAGTCTCTCATCCGGTATGAGCCATGGAATGAGGTTCAGTGTTTTAGCCTGCCACTTTGGGACTCTCACTTGCTGAGGTGTTCCTGCGAGTATCTCTGTAGATCTTAGATTTAAAGTGTTGGCATGCTAGCTGATATCCGAAAAGAGGATGGGCCAGAGATATCTCTGCCTTGGTCCTTTCATTATTGGCTGCTACTTCCCAACGGATGTCAGGCAGTGCAATATTGGCTAAATGGTATAATTTCTCCAGTACTGTAGGTCATAGACATCTTGTGATAATGTCATTAAGAACCACATCCACTCTTTTAGCGTGGTGAGATGTGTTCCACACTGGACATACATATTCAGCAGCAGAGTAGAAAAGCACAAGGACTACACTGTATCTGGTTGTGATCCCCAGGTTGTGCCAGTCAGCTTTCACGTGATATTATTTCCAGTGCTATAGTTAGCACCCAACAAAGACCCTTCCGTCAATAGCTAACCACATATTTCAATGGCTGACCTGACTTGAAATGATGTTACTGCACAACAGGTAAAAATGATGTCCTTTGAAGGCATCACCCAGTGTGGCCTGGAGAAAAGGATTTCCCCAATTTACCCCATCACTTAAAATGCTAGTTTCCATATTTTGTTTTCGTAATATTTTGCAGAAAGTCAAAAATAGCTTATCACCCTAATGCACACTAGAAGGCACACAGAGGGACTACAATCATCTAGACCACATTTTGTGAGTGTTCCTTCTGACACAAATGCTTATTTATACTTTGAACAACTAACATTCTAAATTCTAGCTTGCATTCAGTCTATCATTGAGCAGTTGAACCCAGAACAAATGGCATGTGTGGATGCAGAGTAAGTCTACGAAAGCTTGTGTTCCAACTTCTTTTTCTCAGCCTCAGTGTCTAGCCTTGTGTGTGCTGGGATCCTGCGAAACTATATAAACACGGCGAAATTATTCAAAATACTCTTCAAAATATGCCTTTTCCTATGTATGTACCTGTAACATTTTCTATATATATAGTAGTAATAAAGATCACTTTATACAGCCAAGCACAAAATATACCCAACTACAATAAGTACAAAGTTTTGTAAGATTTTGCTGCTGCAAGCACACAATATGTGCCTAATTTATTTGAACTCTCTCATCTTGTCAGTGTGGGTTGTGAGCAAATTTGGGCTTTCCCATATCACACAGATCAGATCGCTATTCAGGCAAGGGATGTAAACAGAATGAATGTGGGTTGTTGTGAGTTTTCCGGGCTGTATGGCCGTGTTCCAGAAGCATTCTCTCCTGATGTTTTGCCTGCATCTATGGCAGGCAGCCTCAGAGATTGTGACACCTGTTTGTCAGGAGAGAACTTCTGGAACATGTATGGTCAAGATGGCAAAGGTTATTAAGGAAGAAAGGCAAAGGTCCCTTCTACACAGCTATATAAAATCCATATTGAACTTTTTTTGTGTGTGTCAGGAGTGACTTGAGAAACTGCAAGTTGTTTCTGGTGTGAAAAAAATTGACTGTCTGCAGGGAAGTTAGCCAGGGGACACCCGGATGTGTTACCATCTTGTGGTAGGCTTTTCTCATGTCCCTGCATGGGAAACTGGAACTGACAGATAGGAGCTCACCCTGTCTTGCAGATTCGAACTGCCAACCTTCAGGTCAGAAGTTCAGCCGGCACAAGGGTTTCACCACATTAAACTGGGATATTCCCACATTAAACTGGAATATATTGCAGTGTGAACTCAGATAATCCAGTTCAAAGCAGATATTCTGGGTTATATGGATGTGTGGAAGGGCAAAAAGGAACAAGGAGAGGTTGCAGCAGTGTGCTTTGCCCAAGCATCCTGCGAAGGGCCTTATTCTCCCCTCTCCTTCTGAAGTCGAACATGACCTCCCCCCATAAGAGATAGTAACTTATAGTTTTGCTAAGGACAAGGACATCAGGCTGGATGATAGGGGTCAAGTCTTGGTCAATTTGCAAAGACACTAACAACAACAACAATAACAGTGACCCTTCCCATGTCAGATAGTGGTTTTATGCCCTATGTTTCATATATAGCAGAAGGTAACACATTTATTACTGAGAAACCACCTCCCTTTACACTTATGTACTCTCTTGAACTTCTATGGGACTTTTTTCCCTTCTGAAGGACTCTTAGAATTTTTTTGGAAATTTTACCTTTTCAAGCCCCCTATGAATGATCTTTGCCTGACCCTTCTGTCCTATTCCTTTTTATAAAAAAAATGTATAAAAAATTAAGAAGCCACTCTCATCTTGGAAGGAGGAAATCTCCTGTTTGAAAAGAACTTTGTCAAAAGACATATTTGCATGGACAATACAATGGGATTTGACCCTGGGGCTCGGAGTTTGGCCCCCCAGCGGAAGGTGCCCACTTGGCATGACTGATCGTATCTCAACAGGTCAAAGGGCCTTCGGAAAGCCACAATTTGTCCTGATCTGTTCTCTCAGTTATCTTCCTTTTTCTTTTCTTTTTTTTGAAATAATTTTTATTGTGCAGTTTTTCCATTTACAAATAAAAACAAATAAAACAGAACAAATAAGTATCACCCTGTGCCCCACCCATCTCCCCCATCCCTCCTCCCCAGTTATCTTCCATCTACCAAAACTACAGCCAGGATTACCCCATTGTCGCCATATCTCAGTTCAAGAAAAATCTGGACTCTGGCTATCTCGCCAGACATCAACGCTGATTGCCACCTCTCAAGACAATAGGCTGGTTGGCTAGAAGGCCCCCTGAGGACTCGCCAACCACATGGACACTACATACTTCCATAATCCACTCCAGTTCTCATTGTTTCCCTCTCGTCCCGCCTCCTGATTGGCCAGGAGGCCGAAGTGGCATGAGCTCACCCATTGGTTAAGGCGCTCAGGAGGCAGCCAAGCCTCCTCCCAACTGTAGAGCGCCAACCAATCAGACAGCTCTGTTTCGTGTATATAAAGGCTTTATTTTGTGTACACTGTATGCTTGCATGACAAAATATCGCGGCTTTGCATCCTTTCCAGCTGGATCGCAGTAAACAACTCAGTGGCTTACTTCAACTTGGTGAGACTTTTTATTGGGAAAAATCAGGGAAAATATTGGGTGCTTCTTTCTGTCTCGCCAGGGCAACGAACCCTTTGATGAGTCTGATAGGCCTCTTGGCAAAGACCCCTAAATTCTTGCTGGATATCACTTCCCTCTGTTGTGCTGAATCAATTGAGTGTAAACTACAGTGGGCTCTCCATATCTACTGATTAAAACAGTTTGAAAATATTCCATCCAAATCTAAATAAATAAAAATACAAAAAAAGCAAACCTTTTTTATTGTGCTTTTATTAAAAGCAAAGGGGGATTTTATCACAGGCAGAGGAAGCTAAAAGACTTTGTGAAACTACAATTCCCATGATCCCAACCACAGCATTGAGCTATAAGAGTGTCAAACTGCAGTCATTCTGCAATGCAGATGCACCTCAGATCTAGAGTTGTTAGGTAAGGGTTTTGCTCTGACATTAAGTCCAGTCGTGTCCAACTCCAGAGTTGTGACTTCCAAACTAAAAGAGCAGACCCAGCGGAGGCAGCAATTCTGACTCTTCTACAGAGAAACCGGATTGGCGGCAAACGAGGGAGGGCGGAGACTTTGACAAACCACCACGAGGGCCGCCCCTCGGTGGGCGTGCCCACCCTGCTCCGCCCTCCGCTTCCCATTGGCCGAGCGCCGTTCCCTTTTCCGCCGCTCGAGCCTCTTCCATTGGCCGTTCCGCCAGCACGTTCTCTCCGTCCCCAGCGGCGGCCGCCTTAGCCAACCAGAGGGCGGCGGCGCCGTTATCAATCTCTCCCTGCCGGCCAATGAGAGCGCCGCTCCCCTTCCGAGGCCGAATGTTGATACGCGGGAGCCGTCCAATGGGAGCGGCGCTGCCGGGCTCGTGCGGCTTTCGCGGCAAAAAGGATTTGGCGCGCAAAGGCGTGCGAGGCCGGGACCAGCTGGGAACAATAACAGAGAAGCGGGATCGGATCGGATCGCGGCCTGCGAGCGGGTTCTCCGGGAGATGCCCCGGAGCGGAGCCTTGGCTGGCTTCTCCCTCCTCGGCGGCGGCAGCAGCGGCGTCGTCTCTTGAATCGGAGGCGATGGGGCGTGTTCCTGGCCGCCAGCCCCCGGCGCCCGGAAGGAACCCAAAGGAAGAAGGGGGCTCGGCAGAAAGACAGGGCGCTCGCCCGCTTTGCTGAAGGCGCGCGGGGCTTGGGGCGGACGGCGATGTGACCGCAGGGTCGCGTCTTGGCGGGAAAGAGTCCCTCCGCTCCCCTCCCTCGGACCATGTCTCTGGGAGTGGCCCACAGCGTGGCCGACCTGGAAGCCCTGCTGCGGGGCGCCGAGGCCATCCACGTCGTGGACCAGCAGATCGTCATCATTTCCACCCCGGACCCGCTGCCCGCGCCCCGCAGCGAGGCCGAGGCCGCCGCCGCCGCCGAGCTGCTCCTCTTCGCCACCCCGGAGGCCGCCGCCAACTCCGCCACCAACGCCGCCGCGGCCGCGCAGAGGCCTACTCCTTCTGCCGCTGCCCTGGAGCGCCCGCCGGTAATAATCCAGCCTCCCCCGCGCTTGCCTCCGGGGAAGCCAGGGCTGGCCGGGCAGAAAGGCGCCCTCCCTCCTCCTCTTCCTTCTCCTCCTCCTCTTCCTCCCCCTTAAAAAGGCCCCAATGCCCCTCCGGGCCCAGACTAAAGAGACACAAATAAAGATAGAGAGAGAGATAGATATTTCCATGTATATACATTGGGGGGGGGGAGGGGGGTGATCCACCATGTTAAGGGGAAAGGGCACACTTCCATGCTGGGAAAATGGCCTTTTGTTAGGGCTCCATGAGGCCTGCTTCCTGGAGCAGAGCCTTTCTCAGGGTAATGAGACTCATAAGGCCCTTCCACACAGTCCTATCTCCCAGCAGATCAAGGCAGAAAATACCACAAGATCCGCTTTGAATTGGAATATATGGCAGTGTGGATTCAAATAGCTCAGATCTTGTGTGATTCTCTGCCTGAGTGATATGGCTGTCTGGTAGGGCCCTAAACTTCAAAAGTGTATGATTGCTATTCATAAAGCTTCAAAAGAGTGTGATTGCAATATTCAACCCTTTGCTGCTCTTAATAATAATCATAATATTGGTACATATGGCCTTTTGTTAGGGCTCCATGAGGCCTGTTTCCTGGAGCAGAGCCTTTCTCAGGGTAATGCGACTCAGGGCCCTTCCACACAGCCTTATATCCCAGCAGATCAAGGCAGAAAACCCCACAAGATCCGCTTTGAATTGGAATATATGGCAGTGTGGATTCAAATAGCTCAGACCTTGTGGGATTCTCTGCCTGAGTGATATGGCTGTCTGGTAGGGCCCTCAACTTCAAAAGTATACGATTGCTATTCATAAGCTTCAAAAGAGTGTGATTGCAATATTCAACCCCTTGCTGCTCTTAATAATAATCATAATAATGGTACATATGGCCTTTTGTTAGGGCTCCATGAGGCCTGGTTCCTGGAGCAGAGCCTTTTCCAGAGTAGTGAGATTTAGGCCCCTTTTACACAGCTGGGTAAAATCTCACATGGTCTGTTTTGAAGTGTGATATATGGCAGTGTGGACTCTGATCACCCAGTTCAAAGCAGATATTGTGGGATTTTGTGCCTTGATATTCAGGGATATAGAACTGTGTGGAAGGGCCCACGCTTCAAAAGTGTACAATTGCTATTCATAAGCCTCAAAAGTGTGTGATTGTAATATTTAATACCTATAGTAATGATACAAATGGCCTTTTGTTAGGGCTCCATGAGGCCTCGTTCCTGGAGCAGATCCTTTTCCAGAGTAGTGAGACTTAGACCCCTTCCACACAGCTGGATAAAATCCCACATTATCTGTTTTGAACTGGGATATATGGAAGTGTGGACTCAGATCACCCAGTTCAAAGCAGATTTTGTGGGATTCTCTTCTTTGATATTCAGTATTATAGGGCTGTGTGGAAGGGCCCTTAAGTAAGCTTCAAAAGAGTGTGATTGCAATATTCAACCCCTTGCTGCTCTTAATAATAATCATAATAATGATACAAATGGCCTTTTGTTAGGGCTCCATGAGGCCTGGTTCCTGGAGCAGAGCCTTTTCCAGAGTAGTGAGACTTAGGCCCCTTCCACACAGATGGATAAAATCCCACATCTGTTTTGAACTGGGATATATAGCAGTGTGGACTCAGATCACCCAGTTCAAAGCAGATATTGTGGGATTCTCTTCCTTGACATTCTGGGTTATAGGGCTGTGTGGAAAGGCCTTTAAGTAAGCTTCAAAAGAGTGTGATTATAATATTAGGCACCTTGCTGCTCTTAATAATAATCATAATAATGATGCAATGGTCTTTTGTTAGAGCTCCATGAGGCCTGCTTCCTGGAGCAGATCCTTTTTGCAGGACAGTACAACTTAGGGCCCTTCCTCACAGCCCTATAACCTGGAATATCAAAGCAGAAAACTCTACAATATCTGCTTTGAACTGGAATATACGGCAGTGTGGGTTCAGCTAATCCAGGGCCCTTCCACACAGCCATATAACCCAGAATATTAAGGCAGAAAATCCCACAATATCTGCTTTGAACTGAGGCCCCTTCCACACAGCTGAATAAAATCCCACACTTTTTGCTTTGAACTGGAATCTGTGGCTGTGTAGACTCAGTTCAAAGCAGATATTGTGGGATTTTCTGCTTTGATATTCTGGGTTATAGGGCTGCATGGAAGGGCCCTGGATTATCTGAATCCACATTGTCATTTTCCAGTTCAAAGCCAATATTTTGATATTCTGGGTTATATGGCTGTGTGGAAGGGCCCTAAATCACACCGTTCTGAAAAAGGATCTGCTCCAGTAACCAGGCCTCATGGAGCCCTAACAAAAGCCCACTGTATCATTATTATAGTTATTAAATATTACAATCACACATTTGAAGCTTACAGTATCTGCTTTGAAGTGTGATATATGGCAGTGTGGATTCAGATTACCCAGTTCAAAGCAGATATTGTGGGATTTTCTGCCTTGGTATTCAGTGGTATAGGGCCTGTCTGGAAGGGCCTTTAAGTCAGCTTCAAAAGTGTGTGATTTTAATGTTAAGTGTCTTCCTTGGATTAATAATAATCATAATAATGAAACAGTTGCCTTTAGTTATTGCCCCATGAGGCCTGGTTCCCAGAGCAATGTGGGGCCCTGCCATACAACCTTAAATCCCACAATATCTGTATTGAACTGGTTATCTGAGCCCACATTGAGATAATGTGGTATTTTCTGCCTTGATATTTTGAGATATAGGGCTGTGTGGAAGAGCCCTTAGGCCCCTTCCACCCAGCTGAACAAAACCACATTTTCTGCTTGGAACTGGAATATATGGCAATGTGGACTCAGATAACCCAGTTCAAACCTATTCATAAGCTTCAGAAGTGTGTGATTGTTATTCATAAGCTTCAAAGGTGTATAATATTAATGACAAAAATGTTTATTTTATTAGAGCTTCCATGGGGCCTGGTTCCTAGAACAAATCTCTCAAGATGGAAGGGCTTCGAAACTGTATTATTACTATTATGAATAATGATAAAAATGGCCTTTTGTTCAGGCTCCATGAGGCCTGGTTCCTGGAACAGATTGTTCAGGATGGTGGAAGAGCAAGTTTCAAAAGTGTATGATGGTTATGAAGTGTATTACTGCTATTATAATAATGATAAGATCGACCTTTTGTCAGAGCTCCATGAGGCCTGGTTCCTGGAGCAAATCTTTCAGGATGGAAGAGCTTCAGGGCCCTTCCTTGCAATCATATAATATAGCCCAGAATGTCAAGGCAGAAAATCCCACAATATCTGCTTTGAACTGGGTTAACTGAGTCCACACTCAGATAATGTGGGATTTTAGGCTTTGTTATTCTGGGATATAGGGCTGTGTGGAAGGGCTGTGGATTATCTGAGTTCACACTGCCATATATTCCAGTTCAAAGCAGATAATGTGGGATTTTATTTAGCTGTGTGAAAGGGGCCTTAGTTAGAGCTCTACCAGGCCTGATTCTTCAAAAGTGTTGTTGTTGTTGTTGTTGTTATTGTCATTAGTGATCAAAATGTTAGAGCTCCATAGGGCCTGGTTCCTGGAGTAATTCTTCTAGGATGATTATAAAACAACTTTCAAAAGTGCATTATTATTATTATTACTACTACTACTATGCTTATTATTTTTATTAGTGATAATGATAATCAGTGTCCATTGTTAGGTCTCAATGGGTTCTGATTCCTGGAGCTAGGATAGAAGAGCTTCAAATGTGTGTTTCTATTACTAATAACGATAAAAATTGCCCTTTGTTCAGGCTTCATGAGGCCTGCTTCCTGGAGCAAATCTTCCAAGATAGAAGAGCATCAAAATATATTATTAATATTGATAATTATGATTAAATATCAGAGTTCCATAAGGCCTGGTTTATAAAGCAGCTCCTCCAAGATGGTGTTGTAACAAGCTTCAAATGTATATTACAGGCAGTCCCTGAGTTACAACATCCAACTTACAAACATTTCATGGTTACAAATGGGGATGAGAGAAATCTATCCCCCAGGAATGGAAATTAACTTCTGAGAGAGTTGTCTCCATTGAACTTCTGAGAGAGTTGTCTCCAATGAAGCTTTATTACCAGTCCTTGTTTTCACAACAACCCGAATTTTTTGAAGAGGTTCAAAAGTGTACCCTTGTAGACATTTTCCACCTGGATAGTGGGGCACTTTGTTATTTCAATAAAAGAAATATAAGTTATAAATGAGATCAAAACTAATATGATAGGGGCTAAAGAACAGTTTTACAAATCATGGTTCCTCGAGCAGATCTTCCAGGATGGTGATAGAACAAGCATTATAATATATTATTATTAATTATAATGATAATAAATTTTATTTGCTACCTCCCTGTCCTCAAGGCGGGGTATAACACGGCATAATGCCAAGTTTTTAACTTATTTATTTATCATGTCAGAAGTGAATTGAGGGTACAGTTAAAATGTATTTAAAATGCAAAGTTAAAAACTTGGCATTATACTAACTGTCCTTTGTCCAGTAGCTGGCCACTTGGAGTGCCTCTGGTGTCGCTGTAAGAAGGTTCTCCATTGTGCATGTGGCAGGTCTCAGGTTGCATTGTAGTAAGTAGTCTGTGGTTTGTTCTTCTCCACACTCGCATGTCTTGGACTCTACTTGTTGGCCCCATTTCTTAAGGTTGGCTCTGCATCTCGTGGTGCCAGAGCACAGTCTGTTCAGCACCTTCCAAGTTGCCCAGTCTTCTGTGTGCCCGGGGGGAATCTCTCCTTTGGTATGAGCTTCCCGTGGGTTGAGCTTCCCGGGTCTTAGCCTGCCACTTTTGGACTCTCGCTTGCTGAGGTGTTCCTGCAAGTATCTCTGTAGGTCTTAGAAAGCTATTTCTTGATTTAAGGTGTTTGCGTTCTGGCTGTTATCCGAACGGGATGGGCCATAGATGTCACACCAGAGGCTACTTACAACAAAGTTAAAATACATAGATAAAGATACATGGTGGGCCCAATCCCAC